CAGTATCTCTTAATTCGTGCAAGTGGGATCTATCCGCGGGTGAAGACAGTATTCAACTGTCTGGGAGCCAAATCTTTCTCCGTATCCACCTCCCTTCCTCTCCCTCTACTCCCTACCTCCACCTCCCGCTCCTTGTCGATCTCTCTCCCTCTGTTCCTGTGTCTCTCTTTCTCCTTTTCTGTTTGGTTATCGCTGTTCGCTGTCTGTCTCTCGGTCATGCTTTCCTTTTCTGTGGTGCTTGTGTAAGAAAAAGGCAGAACCCAAAATAAATAAAATAAAAAAAAAAAAGACAGAACAAAAAAGGTAGGAAAGAGTTGTTGATCTCTGTTGCCTGTTTGTCTAGCTATCGGATTAATCTCCCTAGTCATGCTGAGCTGTGGTGATTACCATAGTGGGAAATCGGTACGGGGGTCAGGGGGGTGAAAAACACCCACCCAATCGAGAACTTCATTCCTGTGGGGCGGGAGGAGGGCGGTCCTCCCCCCAAAAGGTAAAGGTTAAGAAATCCTCCTTTGGCAGCGTCATCGGCCTGCCTTTTTCTTGTTACGTGCTTTTCTTTTTTTTCAACATTGCCTTTTTTTTTTTTTTTTTGTTGTCTTCTCCCATTTCTGTTTTTCTGCTCGATGGTTCGTTCGGGCGCTACAGAGAAATCACTCAGCCTTCTGCCACTTTTGCGCCTTCCGCCTGTGCTTCCTCTGTCGCGCTCTTCCCCGCTCTTCCTCCGCCCCCCCCCTCCCCCCCGGTCCTCCCCCTGCAACCCTCCTCAATCATCGTCTCCTCCCCCTTCCCTCCTCCCCACTCTTTCTTTTCTCCTTTCACCCATCGATGTGCTCCCATATCTCCCCTTCAACTGTTTGTTCTTCCTCTCTCAGGGTAGGTCTATTTTTGTTGTCTGCGTCTAATCAGCTATAACCCTTCTCCGTCTCACTGGGATATTTTGGATGCTGTTTTACTTTTAGTTTCGTTGTCTCGTTCTTTTTTTTTTTTTTTTTTTTCCAATTATTATTATTAACTTCGCTTGGTATTAAAAGGACAAGATACACGTCTGTGTAGATAGACTTGCGGCGGGAATAAGAAAGGTTGAGCAGCCGCACTGCCGATCCGAGAATGAACACGCAACCTTCCGCTTGAAAGGTGGACAAAAGGACTTTCTATTGAAATCGGCAATCTGAAATCTTTCTGCCTCTGTTGGTCAGTCTCCCTGTGGGCTTATTGTTTGCTCTCGGGGCGTAGTCACACTAGAACGTTTTGACTTATCTGGTCATGACTGCGCTGATATTCATCTAGGTGTGGTCGTAATCGAAGTCGATACATTTAGGAAAGTGCAAGTGTGAATATGCCCTCTGTGCAGTCCGTACACCGGCTGTTATTGTGGTTTTGCTCACGTGATCGAAGAGGTTTACTGTATTTTCCCACCGTTTCCAACTCACACGAGCAACTAATGTAGTGGGCGCGACTTGGACCGGCTGCGGCAAACTGTGGCCTTTACCGTCTCTTATGCAGTTGACAACCGGGTAGTCGAGGAAGACAACGGGGACAAACGGAGAGCAAGATAACGGAGAGAAGCGGAGAGAATGTTTAAATCCGATTGATAGTCATCTGCGCGAGAGGGCAGCTAAGCGTGAGAGAAGAAAGGGCTGTACGTGGCCACAGAGAGGAGCGAAAAAGCGGTAACGAGTACTTATCTGATGGTACTCAGCGTTAACGGATTATCTAACGGCAGCGAGGTGTGAGGAGAAGAAGAGGGAAAGGTGGGGGAGTGTCCTGGACATTGCTCTGTGTGTGTGTGTGTGTGTGTGTGTGTGTGTGTGTGTGTGT